TGTGGCCTCCTTAGGGGGGCGGGGTTTAAAGGGGGCGGGGCTTAAGGGGGAGGGGCCGCTCTGGCCCCGCCCCCTGGGAGCCGGAGCTGCCGAGACCCAAAAACCCAAATTGGGCTCGGGGAGCCCCGGATCGGCCACCGGGGCCACCGCAGGTACCGAGCGTCACCTCAGTGTCACCTGTGTGTCACATGTGTCATTTGTGTGTCACCTGTGTCACCTCTGTGTCACCTGTGTCATTTGTGTGTCACCTGTGTGTCACCTGTGTCATTTGTGTGTCACCTGTGTCACCTCTGTGTCACCTGTGTCACCTGTGTTACCTGTGTGTCACCTGTGTCATTTGTGTGTCACCTGTGTCACCTCTGTGTCACCTGTGTGTCACCTGTGTCACCTCAGTGTCACCTGTGTCATTTGTGTGTCACCTGTGTCATTTGTGTGTCACCTGAATGTCACCTGTCTTACCTCAGTGTCACCTGTGTCACCTGTGTTACCTGTGTGTCACCTGAATGTCACCTGTGTGTCACCTGTGTCATTTGTGTCACCTGTGTCACCTCAGTGTCACCTGTGTCATTTGTGTGTCACCTCAGTGTCACCTGTGTCACCTCTGTGTGTCACCTGAACGTCACCTCTGCGTGTCACCTGTGTTACCTGTGTGTCACCTGAATGTCACCTGTGTCACCTGTGTCATTTGTGTCACCTCAATGTCACCTCAGTGTCACCTCTGTGTCACCTGTGTCATCTGTGTGTCACCTGTGTCACCTCAGTGTCACCTGTGTCATTTTTGTGTCACCTCAGTGTCACCTGTGTCACCTGTGTCACCTGTGTGTCACCTGAATGTCACCTGTGTCACCTGTGTCACCTGTGTGTCACCTGAATGTCACCTGTGTGTCACTTCTGTCACCTGTATCACCTATGTGTCTCCTGTGTGTCACCCGTGTCACCTGTCACCCGTGTCCCGTGTCCCCTCCCCCGCTGACGTCCCCTCTGTCCCCTCTGTCCCCCAGGTGTCCCCATGGCCGAGGGCCGCCCCTCCCCCCGTGTCCCCCCCGGGGAGGTGACAGAGCCCGGCCCCGCCCGGGGACAGCGCGGGGGTGGCACCGGGGGTGGCACCGGGGGTGGCACCGGGGGTGGCACCACCTGGGCCGGCGGCATCACCATCACCGTCACCGCCGCGCCGGCCGAGGACAGCGGGGACACTGGGGACACTGGGGACAGGGGGGACAGTTGGGACATTGGGGACAGCGGGGACACTGGGGACATCGGGGGGTTTGGGGACACCAGGGACAGTGGGGACAGAGGGGACGTTGGAGACATTGGGGATGTTGAGGGCATTGGGGACATGGGGGACATCAAGAACCTTGGGGACAGTGGGGACATCAAAGATATTTGGGACATTGGGGACACTGGGGACAGAGGGGACATCAAGAACTTCGGGGATGTTGAGGACATCAAGAACCTTGGGGACAGAGGTGACATCAAGAACCATGGGGACATCGGGGACATCACGGTCACCACGGATGGAGGACAGGGCGGTGTCCTCATCCTGTGTGACAAGGACATCGGGGACACTGGGGGGATTGGAGACACTGGGGACATTGGGGACATTGAGGACATCAGGGACATCAAGAACCTTGGGGACAGTGGGGACATCAAAGATATTTGGGACATCAGGGACGTTGGGGACACTGGGGACATCGGGGACATCAAGAACTTTGGGGATGTTGGGGACATCACGGTCACCACGGATGGAGGACAGGGCGGTGTCCCCATCCTGTGTGACAAGGACATTGGGGACATCGGGGACATCGGGGACACTGGGGGGATTGGGGACACTGGGGACACTGGGGACAGAGGAGACGTTGAGGGTGTTGGGGACGTCAGGGACATCAAGAACCTTGGGGACATCAGGGACATTGGGTATGGGGACACCGGGGACATTGGGGGCATCGGGGACATTGGGGACATCAAGAACCTTGGGGACAGTGGGGACACCAGGGACATTGGGGACATCAAAGGTATTTGGGACATCGGGGACGTTGGGGGCATCAAAGGCATCAAGGACAGCAGGGACATTGAGGCTATTGGGAACCTTGGGGACACTGGGGACATTGGGGACGTTGGGAACCTTGGGGACACTGGGGACACTGGGGACATCAGGGACACGGGGGACATTGGGGACATCGGGGACATTGGGGACAGGGCTGTCCCCACGCTGAATGTCACTGTCCTGAGGGATGCCACTGGGGACAGGGACAGCGGGGACAGCGGTGCCACCACCCCGAGAGACACTGGGGACAGGGACCTTGGGGACAGGGGGGATAATGACGTCACCAGCCTAGGTGACATTTGGGACAGGGACATTGGGGACAGCGAGGTCACTGCCCTGGGGGACACTGGGGACAGGGACATTGGGGACAGGGACATTGGGGACACTCCGGCCTCGGCCCTGCAGGACCTTGGGGACAGGGCTGCCACCTCCCCGGGGGACATCGGGGACAGGGACATCGGGGACAGGGACATTGGGGACAGGGACAGGGGGGACATGGGGAGTGGGGACAGAGACCTTGGGGACAGGGACATTGGGGACAGGGCTGTCACCATCCCTTGGGACGTTTGGGACAGCGATGTCCCCACTCCTGGGGACAGGGACACTGGGGACAGCAGTGCCACCACCCCGAGGGACATTGGGGAGGGGGACCTTGGGGACAGGGACATTGGGGACACTCCGGCCTCGGCCCTAAGGGACCTTGGGGACAGCGGTGTCCCAGGTCTGAGGGACACAGGGGACAGGGACAGGGGGCACAGGGACACAGGGGACGGGGACCTTGGGGACAGCGGTGTCACCTCCCCTGGTGACACTGGGGACAGGGACCTTGGGGACAATGACGTCACTGCCCCAGGTGACCTTGGGGACAGGGACCTTGGGGACAGGGACAGGGGGCACAGGGACACAGGGGACAGCGGTGTCACCTCCCCCGGTGACAGCGGGGTCAGGGACAGGGAGGACAGTGACGTCACTGCCCCAGGTGACACTGGGGATGGGGACCTTGGGGACAGTGACGTCACCGCCCCGGGTGCCATTTGGGTCGGGGACCTTGGGGACAGCGCTGTCCCCTCCCCGGGGCTCCGCGGCGCCGTCGCCTGCCGGGCCGGGGGCATCACCATCACCGTGCTGGCCCCGCCCCCCGAGGAGGAGGAGCCCACCGGTGACGTCATCGCCGGTGACCTCATCGCCGGTGACGTCATCGCCGCTGGGGAGGCACATGACATCACGGCCGAGGGCGACGTCACTTCCTCTGTGCCGCTGGGTGACGTCACTGCTGACGTCACCTCTGATGTCACCTCTGATGTCACTGCTAATGCTACTGCTGACGTCACCCATGATGTCACTGGTGGTGATGATGTCACTTCCTCTGCGCCGCTGGGTGATGTCACTGGTGACGTCACAGCTGACGTCACCTCTGATGTCACCGTTGATGTCACTGATGATGTCACTGCTGACAACACCTCCGATGTCACTGGTGGTGATGACATCACTTCATCTGTGCTGCTGGATGACGTCACCTCCGATGTCACCGGCGGCGATGACGTCACTTCCTCTGCCCCAGAGGAAGCTCCCGCCGGTGACGTCATCACAGGCAGTGACGTCATCGCCCCCAACCCCGGGAGTCACGTCAGCGATGACGTCACCGCCTCAGGGAGTGACGTCATCGGTGACATCATCGCCCCCGGGTATGACCTCCCGGATGACGTCATCACCAGCCCTGACCTCACCGATGGCGTCACAGCCGGGAGCGATTTCCCGCAGGACATGGATGATGTCACCGATGACGTCATCACCCTGCACGACCTCACGGATGGCGCCCTCAGCCCCGACAGCGACGCCGCCGATGACGTCATCGCGCGTGGCTTCCCCTGTGACGTCATCGGCTGGGGTGACGTGACAGCCGCGCCCCCCGGGGTCGATGACGTCACACCGGGGAGTGATGACGTCATCGACGACGCTGGCATCGGTGACGTCATCGCCCTCTGCCCCGCCCCTCCCCTTCCAGGGGGTGATGTCATAGATGACGTCATCCACGGGGGTGACCTCGCCAATGACGCCATCTGCCGAGCCCACCTCCTCTATGACGTCACCAAGGACGACGATGACGTCACCGTGCCCGGCCTGGGGATCCTCCCCGCCGATGACGTCACCGCCACTGATGACGTCATTTCCTCCCTGCCCGGTGATGTCACCGGGGACCTCGACGCTGCCTGGGGCGATCTCGTTGATGACGTCACGGCCGATGACATCACTGCCGACGATGACGTCACTGCCGACGATGACATCACACCCTTCCTGCCCTTGGGCCGCCCCCCGGACCCTGACGACGACGTCAGCGATGACGTCGCCGATGACGTCACACAGGGGGCGGAGCAGCCGCTGCTCGGGCCCGCCCCCTTCGGCCGCCGCCGTGACGCCGGCGATGACGTCAGCGATGACGTCACCGAGGACGCATCCCGAGGGGGCGGGGCAGGTGAGGGGGCGGGGCTGAAAGGGGGCGGGGTTTGCATTAATGGGATGTGTTTGCATAAAGGGGCGGGGTTTGCATAAAGGGGGATGTGTTTGCATAAAGGGGCGGGGTTTGCATAAATGGGGAGGTGTTTGCATAAAGGGGCGGGGTTTGCGTAAATGGGAAGGTGTTTGCATAAAGGGGCGGGGTTTGCATAAATGGGGATGTTTGCGTAAAGGGGCGGGGTTTGCATAAATGGGGATGTGTTTGCATAAAGGGGCGGGGTTTGCATAAAGGGGG